ATAATATTTATCACATTTTTCGGCAGACAGCCAAGGGACTGGGTCGTTCTCTCATTTACCGTGCTTCCTTCCTTCTTTATGTTTCTGTTAGCCCAATTTACTTTCTCTCTATCAATATTTAATATTTAAAGTAAACATTGCCTTGCTATATTTATGTAAAAACACCTGAAATATTTCAATTAGAACAAATAGTCATATAGCACGTACTATTTCACCTTTGCAGCAAATAAATTGTGACAATATTTGCGTAATTAAAGCAGTGAATGCCATTATTTATTGACATATTTTCGTTAAAACCCAAATTAAAATCAAGTGGATTTATACTAATACATATCGTTTGTTGATTTATAATAAACGCCATTTAAAATACCATCTCTAAAATGAAATAAACAATTTCTAATAGAGCTTGCAATGAAAAGCTAATGTAGTTTCAACACAAAAGCAATTACTAGAGCTGCTTTTCAATTCTCTGAAATATTGGATGCTGAGTAAATGTGCTTCCCTATTATAATAGCCATCGATTCGCAGGCAAGCAAATAACAAGTAATTAAATCATCAATTGCTGGCGATGCCTGATTTAGCCAACTCTCCATTCAAGTACCTCTTAGTGCAAACCAATCAAAAACCAAATAAAATTTAACGATGCCTTTTGCTGTTGCACCATTCAATGCTGCTTAACTCACCGCTCCATTTACCACCCTTCTGCTGCTCACAACCAGCGCCACATCCTGTCGCTGCATTTGTCTGACTGCAAATTGCCGTTAATTTAATGTGCATTTGAGCCATAAAATCACTTACCCAGCATCGTGGCGGCTCAATTGCCGCGTCGCTGGCAGCTGCACAATTTATTTGACTGTTAATTAGAAATTTAAATTATGCGCTTAGCCTTTTGCCTAGGCACCCTAAAGAAGCCAGAGCCACTAAAGCTGCCTAAGACTGCAGGAGCTGGAGCTGGAGCTGAAGCTGGAGCTTGGCTTTCAATTGTCGTTGCCGCGGCAGCAAATTAATTGCAGAGCCTGCTGCTTGCCTGACCCGCGTCCTTTGCTCCTTTCGAACGTTTGCTCTATGGCGAATTCGAAATAATTTATAATTTGGCACAATTACGTTTAGCCGCGAGCGACAGCCAGAAGGAGGGAGAAGGCGAGCGAGTAGCACGGGTCTCCTATAGATCCATATATGGGTCATTTGCTTTGCAATTGCATTTTATTGATTTTCTTAGGCGGCTTACGCCAACGCACTTGGCAAATACACGCAATAAACTTTCACTTGTTTTGTCCCCAAATGAGTACCGGAAAGACGATGGCGGCGACGGTGGCGCTGTTGGCGACAACGTCCAGTGGTAAACACATTGCTCAGAGGCACACCGTTGGCAGCCTGCCCGGTTGACTTTCATTTAGACTTGAATACGAATTCCAAGTGGTTTTGGGCAGGCATTGGGTTTTCTGACTTTTTTGCAGTCATCATCGTCGTTGTTTCTGGCGAATTGGGTCAATAGCCTTTGGATCCAGGCAGTGAGATTACTGCTACAGCTACTGCTGTTGATACTACTGATGATGATGTTGGTCCTGGTGATGAGCAGGTTTCTATGCTGTCTTTTCATTGTTTCTGCACTCAGCTTGTGCATGTAATTTCCTGTCTTGCATATGTAGCTTAACTTCAACATCAACTACTGCTGATGCTACTGCTACTGCTACTCCTGTTGTTGCTGTAATTGTAACACTGATTACTAACGCTTCTGCCACAGCCAACGCTTGTTAGTGCATTTGGTTTGCGGCTTCTGGTATGTACATGTGTTTGTATGTAGTATACGAGTGTGTATGCTTCGGTTCCACTTAGCCTCCCCTATTCACCAAAAACACACATTTTTGGCTCAATTTGCGACTTGTTAGCTGACTGCAAATCATACGCCCCTTAAGCAGCACACACCCCTTAAAACAACAACAACAGCAGCACGCATCTATAAATATATGTACTCATAAAAACTTGCAACTAATGCTGTGGCCTAAGTTCGTAAACAATTTTTAACATAATGAGCATCGCTCGAGGGCCATAAAGTTTTGTGGCCATAACCAGTAACATCAACAAGTTGTTCGTCTACAAGGAGTTTAAAACCAAAACCCAAAATTTATCAAGCAGAAGAAGAGGACGCGGTTGATTATAAGTGTACACCACAAAAGACTCTATGCTTAATAAGCTTAAAGGCATTCCCTCTTTGCAGATGCAGGCGACAATCTACAAGTATGCATGGATGTGGGAATACATTTCTATGGTTACCGAATGAAAAGTGTAAAAACCAAAACCGCTACAGTTAACGATATCCACTCACATATAGTATTTTGTGACTTGTACAGCTTGTTTTCAATTCAATTCTAAAAACCAGTGACAGAAATAGAAGTTGGCTGCAGGAGAAGCTAAGCCGCCAGTACAGTGTGTATAATAAGCTTTATTATGGCCAAAAATAAATAATACAGCTGCTGCTACATACATATATATAAAAAAAAATCAAGTTGTCATGCAAAATACTAAAGGCTTATTATTTTAAGTGTGTACTTAAAAGAAAGTTGACTGTGACTGTAAGCAATTTATTATTAAACTATTTATTTATGTTAATCCGCCTTAACAAAAAATTTAAGAAAAATGTCAAATACATTGCTTATCCAATATGTGAACTTAATAATTAATCCTCAACTAAAGATAAATATGCAAATTAAGTTTAGATTTCTATGAAAATATGTTATGTATATAAGTATGATCTTATATTACGTTATCACCTCATTCTTCTATGGATTCAGTTGCTTGGAACTGACTTATCAGTAAGTGTTCGATATCTTTAATCCCACTGTACTACATTTAAAATGCAGACAGAGACCCAAAGACCAAGAGCCCGAGAGCCCGTGGCATGAATTTATGCAGTCAACTGTATAAAAGGCGTAAAAATATCGAATGCCAAGATGCTGGAGAGGTGGGTGTGGGCGAGTGCCTTTGAATGCGTGGCCACTGTTTGGTTTTCGTTTGGCATTTGTTTTAGTTAAAGCAGCATAACAAACGCCAGCAATAACAGCAACAGCAACAAGAGGGACAGCAACAACCACAAAGACCATTTGAGTGCCCGGACAGCAGCCTCTCCATTTATTACACGCTCCATTGCATTGCGAAATGTGTCACAGTAGCGGGCAAATCAAACGCAGCAAACCACAAGCATGCCACTAGATGGACAGGAAAAAATAGAAAGGAAGGCAGCAGGACAGGCAGGGGGTGCGACATACTTGTATGACCGTCCAGTTAGTACGGACAGACCCCAAAGCATTGCGCGTTGTTTTTATTCAATTACCAAGCCAGTTGTCCTCAAATGTCCTCCGAAGTCCCAATTCCAGCAGCTGCAGTTGGTCTTAAGAATTGGCCATGTAAGACTACGACCCTCACTAATGCTTGTTGCTATTGTTTTTGTTGTTGTTGTCGCCGCCGTGCCGAACTCAAGTCGAAACTTTAAATTGTTTGGAAGCAATAAAAAGTTTATCAAGTGTAAGAAAAAACGCAGCACGTGAATAATGAAATGAAACAAATTAGATTCCTTTTTGGCAGGCCCTCTTAATTGCTTTTTTTTAAAGCGCTCTCAGCTTTAATTTCTCGAATGGTGTGCTTCAGATGCAAACTCAATGAAACAGGAATAACTACAAAATCAATACGCTTCCACCTTTCAATAGCACACTAACTTGACTAAACTTTTAAGCTAAAGTCAAAGAAACTAAAACAAAACAAACAAAAGCAAACCAAACAGACACACACACACACACATTCGACCATATGTATATAGGTATGTGTGTACAGGCCACTTCACACTCACACATATACATGCACTACAATAAATCAATTGGCTTCGGCTAAAACGCTCGAAATTGATTTCAAGCTCTTGGGCCATTGTTTTTATATGCAACAAAGGGACAATTTTTCATTTCAAACGCACAGGGCAGGCAGCAGCAGCAACAAAAGCTCATATGACACACACACATACACATATGGGCCGCCTCTTTTAGCTCGCATGTAAATTGGGCCCATTGTTTATGAGGTTGGGTCGCTTTTGTTATGGCCCTGTTATGCCTTCGCGAATGCGGCCACAGCTACAGAGCCACACACATCCTCGCCTGTCCTTGGCCCTTGATTGTCAATTCAGCTTAAGCGCTGGCCATAAATTCAGCAAATGAGCCAGGCCGCCTGGCCATCCCAATTCGCATGCTAGCCACAATTTTTCTTAATTTAGTGAATGGCAGGCAAGAAATCAATTTTTCGATACTCAAAATCGACAAACAAACAGATAAACAAGCGGTGTCCAATTGCATAAAAGGAAACTTTACAGGCGAGTATATCCCTCTGTTTGTTTGCTTAGCTGTTGTGCGCTTGTGTGTTGACAAATAGTCCGAATCGTAAACAAAAGTGCTTTTGGTTAACATATGTCGGCCCGCTAAATGTTTGTTGTTACAGAAAAAAAAAACAGTTGCAGTTTGACATTCCATTTAATACATACCTCGAGCTCCACCATAATCTACGAACTTGAAACATCCAAAAAGGTTCTAAAACGCAACAGTAATTGAAATCATAACCTAACAAAATATTTGAAGATATAATTTTAAATACGTTCAATAAATACTTACTGAGGCTCGAAGCTAATTCTTTAAATACAAATCAAAATTGAGAAATGTGCAGGCACGTCCAAATATATCTCTGCCCACTGCAGGTCATCCTAAAATAACAAAAACTTAATTGTTGTTTTGTGTTTTTTCTAATTCACAACAGTTGAGCTCTTTCTTGTTCAACGCTGAAATCTGAAAGAGAGGTATGAGTATAAGCGCTTTAAAGATTTCTATTTATTTGGCGATCGGCCATATTTGGTCATTAGACATGGCTCGTTCTCAACAGAGTTCGCATTCGCATTCGCCATGTTAATTGCTTTGACAAACAGCGCTTGCTGTATTCAAATTCAGACTGTAAAAGCACAGTTCAAAATGTATTCGTCACATGCGTTTTTATGGACGCTCGCGCTGCTATTTGGCCAACAGATTGTACTGCTGGAGGCTGGCTATGGACTGGGCGTACCGCTTTGCCAGGGCTGTCGTGTGCGTTACGTTAAATATCCGCTGGCAGGAGCCATTCCAATCATAAACATGGAGCGCTACAAGAAACCGGTACCTAAGTCCATTACAATTGAGCGCGTTATTAATCACTACAAGAAAATCGATGAAAATCAGATTAAGAGACGAACGACGACTGTGAGGAGTCGAATATCATCGGATTATAGTTTCATAGTGAAAATACAATTTGGATCTGTTAGCCAATGCAGTGGCGCACTATTATCGTTGAAGCTGGTACTCAGTTCCAGCAGCTGCTTCAGATCGTTTAGTGCATCGAAATTGGACAAACTTCATGTGCTTATCAGCCACGGTCAAAGATTAGCAGTAGCCTCTGTGCAGCAACCAGCAAGCTACGATGAGATAACATTGCTTATTTTGAAGTCGAGTCCGATCAACGTAAAGCCCGTAACCATTTGTAATACTCCACTTCAACCCTCCATGATTGCAATTATGCTGATGGCCAGCGACGATTTGAGCTTCTATGGTCGTAGGAGCACACAACTGATCAGTAATAGATCATGCAAAACCAGCTACGTGGAGGATGAACAGGCCTTCATCACTTCCAACATGCAGTGTTTACGAAACTCCCTCAATCCGGACCATTGTGGCACCATTAAAGGCGATGCACTGCTCCAGGGCGGGAAATTGTGCGGACTCAGTGCCTACGGCTCCAGATGCCGGGCACGTACCACCAATGCTGACCTCTACGTGAATCTCTACAAAATGAAACAATTTTTAACCGATGCCATACAGAAAGCGCAAAATTAAAGCACAACCAAAACGATTTATGCACCTTATTATTTCGGGAGGGATATTAGGGTTCCACTATACATTTTGTTCCATCACAAATTTAATCTTTTTAAGAGTGTTTATGGAAACATCCATCTACTTTCTTTTCTCTGCCTTTTGATGGGTCTTTTTGCACGCGTCTTGGTAAGCGGGTTGTGGGCTATATCGACTCCATTTATTTTACTGGTAAAAAATGTATATTTTGTGGATTCTGTCTCGCTCTGTTCTGTGCGTTACATTCATTCACACTATGTTTATATTCCCTATTACTTTTGGGGTACAATATTTAAGAAGATTTTATTTTATAACATAATATATATATCAATAACTAAATGGAAAAGGGGGAGAAGACGACACAAATAAATGACAAAACGTAAACTATAAGAAACCAGTTAAATAATAGAGCATTTAATGTTTGCGCTTTCTTTTTAGCTGGATGTCTTGGCTATTATGTTAAAGCGAGGCAAGAAAAGCATATCAAATGTCATTCGAGTCGCTTGCCAGTGCTGCGTGTGCGCAGGAATCCAGTAGGTTGCGTATTATGCAGCTCATGCGCCTGCTGCTCGCACTATATACAACACTGAACCACTACAGAGCTTCAACGGCGCAGATCCAAGAAACAGCCGCAATCGAAGAACGCGGCAGATACCGACTGAAGTTACAACGACCTGTGCGCCAGTACATGACCGGCGAGGTTCCAACTAACGGGCAGCCCTACCAGCTAGTTCGAATTATCGAGTATCTAGTGCCATATCCATACAAGCGAAAGACACCGGTTAAGGTCATCAAGGTGAGGCCGCGATCCGATCCATTCCCTCTTCCAGTCAGCAATGACAGTTTGGAAATAATACCGGCCAACGTCGAGGAATTATTTACTTTGGATCCACCTACCACCCAGAAGCCCAGAGCACACTTCATGCTTAAAGTGAGGCTGCGAGATAAGGACATCTGCTCTGGTGCTCTGATCTCCAAACAATTGGTGATCACCTCAGCTCATTGTTTTCCCGCCAAGCCACAGCTGCAAGTCTTATTGTATCGTGTGGTGGCGAGCAAAAGTCGCGTCTATACTGTCAAAGATGTCTTGGCGGGCAATGGCTCTCCACAGGGGGAAGAGCTGGCACTAGTTTTGCTCAAGGCACCGATTCTAGATGAACAAATGCAGCCGATTGGGTTGTGTAGCTGCGCTCTGAAGCGACACGATAATGTGACCATGTACATGACGCGCCTAAATGTGCGATTTCTGCGCACATCCATCATAGCCAATGGTGCCTGTAAGCGCAGCTATGCACAGGACGAGGATGCCTTCATCACGGCAGCAATGTTGTGTGCCCAGAACACGAACAAACTGAGCGATTGCCAGACAACTCGGGGCGACATCCTCTTACACAACGAACAGCTGTGCGGCATCAACATCTACGGACCCCGTTGTGTGGAGGGCGCTGTCAATGGAGATCTCTATGCGAATATATACAAAGTGCTCGATTATCTTAAACAGCAGATTCAGCGTTATGGCTAAGAGCGAACCCTTTCCAAATAAAAACTCTGTAGTACAACCAAAATGATCTCAATAGAGTTATACATTCTGTTATCAATCGGGTTGCTTCAGGCAGATTCTCATAAAAACTCTCTTACCATCTTAAATGGACATGGATTTTACATACAAGTATCCTAGACATACCATCGCTTTTTAACTGTAACTTTTTGTGTATAGCTTCATTGTTATGGTTATGACTATTGGACTTGCACAAAGAGTTTGTATAAATTAACTTTTGTATATTTGTGTGCATGCCAGAAATCAAATCAATCTCGGTAAACCAACAACCGACCAGCAACACACACTGCCTGCTTCGATTTGAAAGCCAGCGCAAAAAAATTCAAGCCATCAAAATTGTTTTTCACTCGATTCTCTTCACAATTTGATGCTTTAAAAATGTAAAATAAATGTAAATTTGGATTTCTTTTTATTTTGAATGATGTAAATAAAATGGTTCACAAAAACTGCAGACGGAGCGACCTAAAAACCGCCAAAGAAAAGAACGTGGTGGGACTGACAACAAAAAGGTGTTACTCTTGGCTTGAAATCTACACCGCCGCCAAATGTCATACTACGACGACAGCCTCTAACCCCTTCACACAGTACCTGAAGCTGGGGGGCTGCCATTGGTGTGGTGTTAAAATATACAGTTTGTCATGAAATATGCACATGTCCTGGCAACGAGCGCGCCAACAAATAGACAACAAAACACACATAAATAAATTAAATATTACAAAAAGTGTGATAAAAAAACGGCGGATTGTCAAAGCTATGGTGATTATTTGAGGGGATTTCGTATACCCTTCCAGTCACACACAAATTATTACACGACTTAAAAAAAAAAATTTTCATTTGAAAAGCTGTGATTATTATATGTATGATCTATATTTTTATAACAAATTAGACACAGTTTTCAAATGCAGATTTTCACTCGCTTCGAACTATTTACGAAATCCAAGCAACAATTTCCATGCTTTATATAGCCCTTGTTCCTTTTTATACCCTGTACCCGTAGGGTAAAAAGGGTATATTAGGTTTGTGCAAAGTATGTAACATACAGAAGGAAGCATCTCCGACCCCATAAAGTATATATATTCTTGATCAGCATGACGAGAGAAATCGATCTAGACATGTCCGTCCGTCTGTCCGTCCGTCTGGATGAACGCAAGGATCTCGGAAACTATAAAAGCTAGAATAACCAAAGTTGGCATCCAGATTCTCCTAGATCCGAGTAAGGACGAGTTTATTTTTTTTTTTTTTAATTTTCCGCCCCTTCCCCCGCTACAGAATTTCGTCAATAGCGTCCACATTTCAAAAGCTACCTAAACCAAACTTTGCACACATAATTTATAAGTAATTATCTACTTTTGTTTAAAATTTTATTCAATTCTGTTAATTCTAAGAAATGTTATTAGCGAAACAAATTCTCGCCAGTACAACCCCCCCAAACTGCAGCAACAAGTTCGCTCTTCTTCTTCCTCTTACACTGTCGGGCTTGCTCGACTGTAGCGTTCTCTCTTGTTTTAATTTTCCTATATATATACTACTTTTTATCAACTACATGGCCCCGATTTTTTAGTTATTACATAAAAATAAATTCAACGTAACATTTTTTGGTTAATAAAAGAGAGACCATCATTTTGGTTGGAGACGGGCTTAGGAACATAAATATGTCTTATAAAAATGAGAAAACGTTTTTTTTTTAGGGGTATCCCACATGTTTTAAGCCATATGTGCTTTCCTAATATTTATGTTACATATTCCCGTAGACTCCTCTCCTAATACTTAATTCCACATGCCTCGTAAACTCGCACACGAATATGGCGCTTTAAACCTACTACCATTTGGCATTTAAATGCAGCGAGGCCTGTCGTGCGGAGCAGCGCTGCAGAACAACTACAACGATGACAACTAAATTTATGTACATAGAAATTAAATTCCAAAATAAAAAAAGAACAACATGTTTGTTGGCATTTATTTACAGAGCACCTGCAAAACAAAGTAAAAAGGCAAATTGGAAAAACTTTTCGCTGATTGTGGGCAATTCAGGCGAGCGGCAGACAAACGCACATGTATCACATTTAACCGAATACGCTAAAATTTAAAATGTTCGATTTCAGCACAAAGCAATAAGACAAAAATTGTGTACTATTTTCCTGACAAATGCTGGTGGGTATTCCCAGCACAATTGAATGAGTTGAATTTTTATTTGTTTCACAATTTCTATTGCCTACTTTTCGGCAGGCCGTGCCCCAGAAAATTCAAAAGGCATTAAGAACATTTCGGAAAACTTTTGCCTTACGTGATTTGACTGGTCAGACACCTAAGTGTATACGTATACGTATTTTATGAAATTTCTCACGCTGTCTAACAAGGAAATAGGTGGCAACAATGACAGCAATGGCGCAACAACAGCAGTCGGTATAAAATAAAAGTTTTCCACTTAAGGTTTATGAAAAGTTTAAGCCGACAGTCAAGCCCAAAACCACGCACACACCCTCACCCTAACGGCATACGATCTTAAACGGAAACAGCGGTCGAAAAATGATGAATGCTAAGAACACCAACGCCCCATGACGCCATAGGAAACGGCCACACAAAACACACTCTAGAGGCGGCTGACTCTGCTATTACTCTTGAAGGCATTTCCGTGTTGAAGATTTGCAATAAAACGCGAAGTTGACGACGGCCCCATAACCACTTAACATCTTAGCATTCGACCAGTCAAGCCACACTTCAAACTTTCTTTTGCCTTTTTTGTCTGCTGTAGACGAGAACTGTGGCAGGGTGGAGGGGAAGAAATTCCCTAAATGCAAATAATAATGTAATTGCCGGCAATTTCCTTGGGCTTTGCTTGTTTTCTGTGTACGTTCGCATTTCTCTTGTGTTTTCTTGTTTTCCTGCTTTTGTAAACTTTTATTTGATTTAAAAAAGAAGCCCACAAATTGACTTGCTTAAAACATTTGCACCTTCTTAAGGTAGCCAATATGGCCAATAAAGGCATTTAACACAGATAAAGAGAAGTACATGAAATCTAAATGCAAATGCCCCATAAGAGCGCATTAATGGACTCTCAGCTACCAAGCTCTCAATTAGCAGCCCGACAACTGCACAGTAAAGCGGAAAAAAATGCCAAAACCAATTGACCGACGACATGCGAGCCACAGCGACAACTACAGCCACAATCAGAGCCACAGCTGACAATGACATGCAAATGCCTTGGCCAAAGAGAAGACCAAACGTGTGACATGAAAGTCGACTCGCAAAGGGAAATGAAGCATATCAAATGGCAATGCCGGAGCCGTGCCCAACTTAATGTGTTTTTAATTAGTAAATGATATTTTAAGCCGACTACGGATACTAATTTGCAGTGACAAACGACGAAAGTCTAACTTGGATCAATGATTGGCGCTAATTGCCATTTAACTAATATTTCTAATACCAATTAACGAACCTCGAAATCGCCCAGAAACATGCAAAATAATACCTTTAACTAGGGTTCTTACTATATAACATTCTTCGAAATATTGTTATTCAACCTGTTTTTCCTCCTTTAATAACTTACTAGCTGACTACCAATTCAATTCAGATGATTTGGGTAAAAATCTCCAATTTGTTTTAAATCCAATATCAATAAATTGCTAATAATATCGCTTAACATAACCAGACAATAATTAAGTTCTAATATTTCTAATCAATCAACTCTGCTTTGAGTCTTGAAGCCTTTATAGTCTTTGTAAACGCAATGTCGTATATGCCAGCGGTCAAATAATTATATTAGAATGGCATATCAAAGACCACATATTGATAGTCAGGCATTAGATTAATGCTGCAGCAATCTGATTATTCTACGGAACACAATTTCTATGGTGCAGCACTGGAATACAAAATATGAAATCAAACAACTTTTCAAAATAATAAACCAAAACTTATTCATTGGAACTGATTGATTGGGAATATTTAGTATGTTCAGAAATAGCTACCAGAATGAGGTGTTCCATAATAAGATGATTATTTGTACTTACATATCATTAAAATAATATTTAAAATAAATAAATTTTTAAGTTTAATAAATTGTAATGTTTATGTTACATAAGTATATACTTTTACATTATTTCTTCATTTATAAGCTTGTTGAATAGTGTTTAGTGGTTTATTGCTCGAATGTAAGAGTACTTGAACAATAATGCAACAATACTTTATGTAATCGTGTACTAATATAATCAATTAAAGCTAAACATGAGCACACGTGCGTATGCTGTGGCAGACACAGATCTCTTTGATATCACTAATACACTCCGGCGCAAATGCAAATGGAATTGTGTGTGGGAAACAAGAAAAGCAACAACTCCAAGAAGTCGCTTCATGCTGATGAGTTCAATCAAGTTGTAAGCATGATTTCACATTGTATTTGATGTGCCGCATCATAGTCTTTCGCATCGTCGTTGTCGCCAGTGCCACGCAACCTCGTCGTCAGTCAGTAATTCAATACACAATCAACAGCGTTTTAGACTTCATTTGTAAAGGAGGCAACGATGGCAATGTGAAATAAAAAGGGAAATCAAATCATAAAAAATATTATGCCGCTTTGTAGCAGCCCCACTCTGTCCTCGTACCAGCAACTAGCCCAACAACAGCGCAACAGGATATCCTGCCCCACAGTCGGTCTTTCTGTCCGTCTATATGTTTGTACGCCTTGTAAGAGATGACAGGAGAAAATCAAGTAAGCACGCATACCTTTGGCATGCAAAGTGCTGCAACTGGGCAAGGCTGCTCTGCCCCTCACCCCATCCATGTTGCATTGCGCCGTCACTACCACTCGACTACAAATTGATGCAATTTATGAAAACTTTTGTGCGCTCAATTGCAAATATATAAGCACTGCCATTTCTATGCACTTCTTCTGTGCCCTTCCTGCCCCACAATTTGCCAAAGTAATTTTTCTTTTTGGCAAGGCTGCTTTCATTTTCAACATCTCTGAATCTCTTTCGCTGTCTACTAAAAAACAATTTCATTTCTTTTTGG